GCGTCCTCCGCCGGCCCGCGCCGCCTCGGCCGGGCGCTCCACCTCCTCTTCTACCTCGCCCCGGTGGCCGCCGTCGCCTTCTCCGGCTGGTGCGTCCACCACGTCCTGGACAAGGTCCAGCAGGTCCAGAGCAGCCACCAGGACTTCTCCCGGCAGCGGGAGGAGCTGAGCCAGGGCTTGCAGGGCGTCGAGCAGAAGGTGGGTGCCCCCCACCCCCGCACCCCCCTGTCCCGATCCCCTCCCCCCCTCCGCCACCGCCTCCCCACCTCCTTGTGTCCTCTCGGCTGTGGGCCCTGCCCAGGCCCGGTGGTCAGATCCTCTGCCTTTCATTGGGGGGTGGGGGTCCAGCCCGCCCCCCCCCACCGGCCCCTCGCTCCCCGAGCTGTCCCAGACCCTGTTTGTCAATGGTCGCGGAGAAGGGGTCCCGGGGATGGACCTCTGGTGGATGGCCAGGCCGTCCGGGGAGGGTGGGTCAAGGGCCTGTCACCGAACATTAGCGGTGACCTATAAGGAAGCCGGCAGGCCCGGGGGAGCTCATTCTTTTTGGATTAGGAACCGCTGAATGAGCAGAGTTGTCTGAAAAGGAGGTTGGAAGGGATGCCAGCGCATCCCGGGGCAAGGCCTGCACCTCCGCCCGGCCGGTGGGAGACTTCTCAGCCAGCTCTGACCAGCGCCTGAGAGCCAGGGGGAAGGAAAAGCTAATATTCTCAGTCATTTGCTAAGCTCAGATGAAATATTTCCTATCTTTAGGTCCCTCGGACCCCTTCATAGCCCTTTGAAGTCGCCAACTTCAGTTTTGCTGGGAAGGAGAGACCAAAAATACTAGGTCACATATAGTACTGGTAGACCCATTAATTGGGGTTTGCAGAGCTCTCTTGTGTATTATCCACTCCCCAGAGCAATCCTGGAAAGGTAGGCGGGGTGGACAGACAGGCAGTTTTGACTCCATTTTAGAGAGAGTCAGTGAATTACCAAAAGTCTCCCCCCTCCTCCCTCCCAGCTGATGTGTGGCGGATCCGATGAGAAAATCTGGGCCACTGCCTAGTCAGGGTGCCCCTGGGTCCTATTTCAGAGATGACTGGATCCCAACTCTCAAGATATAATTGTACAACCCTTGTGTAGTTTCACCAGACCAAGGGCAGCCCTTCCCTTCCCATTTCTTCCTACATCCTCCACCCACGTCACCACTCAATGAAAGTCAGTTGGAGGACTGAAACAAAAAATCCCGCCACTTCTGAGCCCAGAACTGCTGTCTCCTTTTCCCAGCATGCTGCTGGTCTTGCCAAGTCTCTCTACTTGGGTTGAGTGTGCAGCATTAGGAATTTCCTCTTAAGACTGGTAGAGCAACCAGAATGAGTCAGCCTGCTTAAGTGCTGCAGGCCCAGGGAGGTGACTTCTCTAAGGGAATTCAGTAGGCAGTGTTGCTTTGCCTAGCACGAATGTCAAATCCTTCTTTAAAAGAAAAAGGCATCCCACTGAAGTCTAATCACTAACCCACTTCCTCCCTTTCATCCACCTACTTTGCTAATCAATCATAATATTTATTGAAGGCTGTTAGTCATCTGACTGCGTAGGCCCTGTGGAGCGTTTGGAGGAGCACAAGGACACATCATACTTGTGGAGCAGTATGTAAATAGGTGTAACACCCCTCTGGTTGATGGAGGGTGTGGAATTTCCCTGGGCTTGAATTCCCATGTAGTTGGTGATCCCGTGTTGATAAAGAATGTGAAAAACACACCAGGAGGGGTGAGATCTTTCACTGAGGGACTAAAGGTGGCTACCATGCCATGCAGAGTCACATTTAGGAAATTGTGAGAGAGGGAAGTTGGAAGTTGAGATCTAGACTCTAAGTTGCGATTAGGTGTTGGCTCTGTACTTCTCCCTGTCTCTCTGTCAGCCCCTCCTTTTTGGCTCTTAGCAATTATTCAGTACAGCTGTGTGCAGATCACTTTGGTCTCTGGGGCTCAGTTTCCCATCCACACACAACAGAAAGGTGATATCCAATTTTTGTTGTTGTTGTTGTCAGTCCTGCAACTTGTACTCAGGACCTGGGCACTGTCCCTGAGCTTCTTTTCCTCAAGGCTAGCACTCTACCACTTGAGCCACAGCACCACTTCCAGCCTTTTCTGTGTATGTGGTACTGAGCAGTTGAACCCAGGGCTTCATGCATGCTAGGCAAGCACTCTACCACTAAGCCACATTCCCAGACGATACCTAGAGTTTTGAGAATCATCATGGCTCTACAGTTGTTTAACTAGTGACCCTACCACCTATTAATTAGTACAATCAAGCGATCAAATTCAGTGTCATATATTTATTGTGCATTTCCTATGTGGCAGGCACTAGGCTAAGTACTTGAAAATGCATCATCTCTTTTGACTCTGAGAAGAATTCTGAGACGTTAAGTGCTCTTGCTGGCCCATTTCCTAGAGCAAGAATGTGAAGAGGCCATGGAACTGCATGGAGACACAGTAAGCCACAGAGCTAGGACTCAAACTGAGGTGTAACTACTAGAACCCTCTTCACCACTTCGCTGTTTATTATTTCCCCCGGTACACTGTAGGTGTTCAATTAAATGTTTGATTTGGAGCCTCAGCCTGCCCAGAACAGGGTTAGGATCTGGCACAGTGTCTGGTCCCTTCTGCCTAGTCCAGATAGCCACTGTGTGAGTTATTTTGTATTCATGATTGGTTTGCTGACACCTAGGGTTGAACTCTGGCATAACTCTGAGATTTAGCTGGGGGGGGGGGAGATTCTGTCCTTAGCAGTGTCTTATTCGTAATTAGTATTCACAGTGGGCTAGACATTCAATTAAGTGCTTCATAGCCTTGCTTGCACTTCTCCCAGCCATCCTTGGAGGCAGGTACCAGTTCGTGTGTTTGCACAGATAGGGCAGCTTAGGCTGGTAAGGGCAGTTTAATGAGAAGTGCTTATGTGGGAGAGTGACTTCTGCGGTTGTGTTTCTTCGTCTGCTACTCTTGATTGTGCAGATGGGAGTCAGCCAGCCCCTCTTCTAGGTTCTCAGTGCACCTGGAACGTGCTTTTGTCTGATCATGTCAGGGCTTGTTAGGCAGACACAAGACAGCATGTCAGGTGTAAATCTTCAGGTTCTGAAATCAGCATCTCCTGGGATTTTGAGGCTCTTCTCAAACAATTAAACTCTTTGTTTGAGCCAGTTCTGGGGCTTGAATTTAGGATCTGGGCACTGTCCCTTAGCTTTTTTTTTTTTTTTTAAATTAAGGCTAATGCTCTACCACTTAAGCCACAGCTCCGCTTCTGCCTTCTTGGTTAATTGGAGGTAAGAAGAGTCTCATGAACTTTCCTGCCTGAGTCGAATTACAGGTGTGAGCCACCAGTGCCTATTTTCTTCCTTTCTTGTCTTTTCTTTAAAAATAAACTAGTTGCAGGGCGCTGGTGGCTCACGCCGGTAATCCTAGCTACTCAGGAGGCTGAGATCTGAGGATCGCAGTTCAAAGCCAGCCCGGGCAGGAGAGACCGTGAGACTCCTATCTCCAATAAACCACCAGAAAACTGGAAGTGGCGCTGTGGCTCAAGTGGTAGAGTGCTCGCTTTGAGCTGAAGAGCTGAGGGACAGCGCCCAGGCCCAGAGTTCAAGCCCCACGACCGACAAAATAAATAAATAAATAAACTAGTTAACACTTTGAATAGTTATTGGGGTTCCCCATTAAACTTCATCCATCATGGATACTCAGGGCACCTACCTACCACCCCGGCCAGGCTCCTTGAGGACGGGGATCCTATTCTAGCTATAATTTTATCTCTAGCTTCTCACCCAGCACTGTCCACATAGCAGGTATTGCACATATGTTGGGGGAATAGACATATCCCATACATACAGATTAATATGAGGTCTCTACCTATATTGATAAACAACTCACAACATCTTCACTGTATGTTTGCTTTTAAGAGCACGGGGGGGGGGGCGGTTAGTTTGATTCCATCTCTAATTTTGGATAGAATCACCTTCCAAACCATTTGTAATGTGTTAGCCCAGGTTAGGAGAAGGAGCTGGGGACTGGGTGGGAAATGGACTGTCTTAGTCTTCATCATTTAAGTTTTGCTCTGAATTCCTTAGTTCATTGAAAAAGCACTGGTTGCTCACTTGCCATGTTACAGGTACCAGGCTCACTCACTCTCACTTCTGTTTTGAGCACCATGGTACAACAGACTGATTTTGTAGTGTGGTTTTAGGAATCAGCTCTCCCTAGTACTTCTCAGAGTCCCTGTATGCCGCAGGTTTTGTTTAGTTGGGCAGTTTTCTACTATTCTGGAGTCCCTAACTACCTTAGGATAATCTATCTTAAAATCAGAGACTGAAGTGGATAGAAGGGACTTGAGTGTCCTGTTTGCTAGCAGATGAGGAACTGGATGCAGGGAGTGGAGGTGACTTCTTTGAGTTCACTGAGTGGTGGTTGGTTTGGCTAGAACTAGAGCCCAGGAGCCCTGTTTCACATTGTGTTTTATAGATTCTGCCCTTTGGCCTTGAGGCTAAGAATGGTGCTAGGTATCTCCAGGCTCCTGAGGTACTTCAGAATAAATACAAAACACTGAAACACCGAGAAAGACAATAGTGGCCATGGGTTGAGCAGCCATTGTGTGTTAAGCAGTTATGCAGCTTACATATGTGAATTCACCTAATTCTCACAGTGACAGTCCTGTGAGTCCAGGTACTATTTTTGTTCCTTTCATGCAGTCGAACAAACCAAGGTTCTGTAACTAGCCCAAGATTGCCCCGGCCTGAAAGTATCAGAGCTAGGATTTGAGCCTAGGTAGTTGACTCCAGAGCTGATGTAATTCAAAAAAGCAAAAGACCTCAGATCATTGTTGTATTCCAGTTTAAACAAAAGAAGAGAGCAATGGAACAGACTCTTGTTTGAATAACTGTCGACATTTTAGCTGTTTGATTCCAGCCCTAGTCCTCCTTCCATTTTCCTGGCTGGATTTAGAGCAGTCTTACCCTGAACCATTCTGCATCTGTTGGGTGCTCACCTGGTCCTTTTGGGTGCCTGTCTTGTTCTCTAGTTGCTCTTGAAAAGTGGCCCCAGTCATCTGAGTAGAGCAGCCTACCCTTGCTGTGAAGACTGACTAGGGGCACGGAGGTCTAGGGATTCAGAACATGTGGGCAGCTCACTTCTAGGCCTGTGTTGCCCTGGCAGACCAGAGTCATGTGGAACTGGGGTGGGTTGATAGGGAGGGGCAGGGAGCTAGTTTCTTTTCTTCCTTTCACTGTGTGTGTGTGTGTGTGTGTGTGTGTGTGTGTGTGTGTATGTGTATCTGTATATCTGTATCTATATCTATGTGTGTTTCTAGGATATGAAAGATATGAACTCGGCCTTGTTCTTGCTGGGCATGCTGCTCTCTATCACATGAGCTATACCCCTAGTCCTTTGTGCATTTGTTACTTTTTAGCTAGAGTTTCACACTTTTGCCCCAGGCTTAGACCACCATCCTTCTATCTTCACCTCCTGGATAACTGGTATTACAAGCACATATCATCATACCTGGCTTTTTCTTTGATCTCTGCACGCATTGCCGGTCCTTCCCCCCCCCCCCTTTGGGAGGTCATGAGGTTTGAACTCCCAGGGATCCATGCTTGCGAGGCAAGGGATGTACTGCTTAAGTTGTACTTCTAGCCCTAGCTTGTTTTTTGAGATCATGTCTCACTAACTACTGTGTGTTCCCCCCCACTCCCTCCTTCCCCAGGCTGCCCTTCAACCACCATCTCTGCTTCCTTCATAGTTGGCATTGGAGGCATGCACCGCCATGGTGAGCCTTGATTTTTTTGGGGGGAGGGAATTGTTGTTGTTGTTGTTTTTTGAAATGAAGATCTTATAATATTGTTCCACCTGGCCTCAAACTCAGGTTCTTCCCTTCTGAGTATCTGGGATTACAGGTGTGTGATACCATGTTTATTTCCTTTGACCAAACACAGCACCTGGCACCTGTCAAAGTTAATGATTCTTGTTCATCATTTAATAGTAAAACCTCCTCACTTCTCCCCCAAGTTGTCTTCCTAATGTTTGACTTGAACAGAATCTATGTAATATCTACACGTTGTATTTTATTGAAAATCCTTCTGGTCCTTTTTTTTTTTTAAATCAGTTCCGAGATTGAATTTAAGACTTTGCACTTGCTCAGCTTATTTACTCAGTTGGTACTCTATTACTTGAGTTGTGCCTACAGTCCAACTTTTTGCTAGCTATTTTGGAGATGGAGTCTCTGGACTTTTCCCCCTTGACTGGCTTTCAATTTAAGTCTTGAAATTCTCAGCCTCCTGAGTAGCTAGGAGTATGAGTCACTTGGTTTAAATTCCATTTAATCCATAATACTTTCCATCTTCCCCACTTTCTTTTTTTTATTGTGAAAATACTGTACAGAGGGGTTACAATTACATGGGCAAGATAATGAGTACATTTCTTATCAAGCATTGTAGCCTCCTCCTTTGTTTCTCCTTCCCATCCTTCTCCCCCTTCCCCCCACTAAAGTTGTAAAGTTCGTTTTTCAACATAAGGACTTGTACCTCTCATTGTTGCAATGGGTCCTCCTGTATCCCTGTTTTAACAATTTGTTTTTTCCCTTCCCCTCCACATATACCAACATCATATATAGTGAAAACAGGGGTTATATCATGGGGGAGGGACATACAAAGCAACAAAGACATAATCTTATAAATATGGCAGAAACAGTCACATGAAAGATCTCTCTCTTTTTTTTTGTCAGTCGTGGGGCTTGAGCTCTAGGCCTGGGAGCTGTCCCTGAGCAATTCAGCTCAAGGCTCATGCTGTACCATTTGAGCCATAGCGCCACTTCTAGTTTTCTGATGTTTTGTTTTTTTTATTGTGATTAAGTGATTACATAATTTCCCAAATTTCACAGTATTGTGGGATAGTGATGCTCATTTAAAATCACAAACTCATTCTAACTTTCCTGGAGCAAATTGTCTATCACGGTCTATAACATATAGCGGTGTATACATATACACCATACATGTGATCAGCAGCATGAGGTTATTTAGTAGTGGTTTGACCAGATGAGTGGAAGTTCTTTGTTTCTTAAGTCCTGTTAATTTTGTCTTATCACCTAACATTTTGGATTTAACATCTACTTATCAGGGAGACCATGTACTGTTTGTCTCTTTGCTCTTGGCTTACCTCGCTCTACATGATTTCTTCTAGCTCCATCCATTTCCCTGCAAATGTCATTATTTTGTCATTTCTAATGGCTGCATAATATTCCATTGTGTATAGATACCACAATTTTTGGATCCATTCATCTGTGGTGGGGCATCTGGGTTGTTTCCATATCCTAGCTATTGTGAACAGTGCTGCAATAAACATGATTTATTGTATATTGGTTCCTGTTGTTCAGGGTAGATGCCTAGAAGTGGTATGACTGGGTCATAAGGGAGGTCAATATTTAGCTTTCTGAGGACCCTCCAGACTGCTTTCCAAAGTGGTTGTATAAGTGTACATTCCCACCAGCAGTGTAATAGGGTTCTTCTTTCTCCGCATCCCCTCCAGCATTTGTCGTTGGCTGGCTTGTGGATGTGGGACATTCTGACTGGGGTAAGGTGGTATCTCAGGGTTGTCTTTATTTGCATTTCCTTCACAACCAGGGATGGTGAACATTTTCTCATGTGTTTCTTTGCCATTTTTATTTCTTCATCTGAAAAGTCTCTCTTTAGTTCCCTTGCCCATTTAGTAATTGGTTTGTTAGGTTTGGGAGGGATTAGTTTCTTGAGTTCCCTGTATATACTGGATCTTAACCCCTTGTCTGATATGTTGCTGGTAAATATTTTTTCCCAATTAGTTGGTTGTCTTTCTAGCTTGGTTGCGATAGCTTTAGCTGTGCAGAAGCTTTTTATTTTACATCTTCCCCACTTTCAAAATGCCAGTCGCTGAATGTTGGCAAGGATCATTTCTCCTGTGACTTTTCCAGCATTGTGGGTTTGGCTGATCATTTCCCTGTGGCATCACAGCACACTCCTGGCTTCCATGTTTTTCGGAAATGGTGGTGAGACCTCGAGACAGGGACACCCAGGTGGACATTTCTTCCTTCTCCCCCTTAAAAGAAAATCTTTTCTTCAGTTAAGCATTGAAGCTAACACCATTGTCATGCCAGAATAAGATCTGGGTTCATCCTTTGTATAATCAATTAGACCAGCTCCTAGTATAGTGCTCAGATCAATCTTGTTTTAGGACAGAATTTGTGTGCATTCAATGAGCATGTAACAGCAAGGAAGACTGCAGTGTGTTCACAGGGACGGAGAGTGCTAGCGAGGATGCCACAGCTGGAACTGATGAGCAGAGACCTGGACCCTTGTCTCTTAATTTCCAGCCCGGTGTTTCCACATGCCTCAGTTTCTTTCCTATGGAAATTTAGAAGACACAAGAACTAGAAATCCAGTCTGGATCGTCTTGGAGAGAAAGAAAGAAAGAGAATTGATTGGTTCAAGCTAAAACGTGGAAGAATAGATTGCTTCAGATGAGCTATACCTGTCTCCAGTGGTTTGGATGATGTCTGGGGAACTGGATCCTGCCATCTCTCTGTTTCTCTCTATGCTGCCTTGCTCTCTAGAAAAGTGAACACTCCTTGTGTGCTGGTCTGGGCTTCAGGTCTGTCTCTTCCTATAATCAGCAATTCCAGTGGGGGAAGTTCCTTCCCCTCTAGTCCTGACTTGCCTTCTCAGCCTGCTTGTCTTCTGTGGGCCTGTTCCTGGACTAGTCAAATGCAGACTGAGTGGGGAGTGGGGGAGTGGGGTAGGTGTAGGTGGAGCCCTTGGAGTGGGCCCTAGGGTTGGATTCTGGGCAGAGGGCGGGGGAGGGGAGAGAAGCTATATCATGTAAAACTAAGGCTCTCTTCTCTGTGGCTCACATCTGGGTTTGGGTTACAGGTGCAGTCTCTGCAAGCCACGTTTGGGACCTTCGAGTCCATCTTGAGAAGCTCCCAGCATAAGCAGGACCTCACGGAGAAGGTGGTGAAGCAAGGAGAGAGTGAGATCAACCGCATCAGTGAAGTCCTGCAGAAGCTGCAGAACGAGATCCTCAAAGACCTCTCGGACGGCATCCATGTGGTCAAAGATGCCCGAGAGCGGGACTTCACGTCCCTGGAGAACACGGTGGAAGAGCGGCTGACGGAGCTCACCAAGTCCATCAATGACAACATCGCCATCTTCACTGAAGTCCAGAAGAGGAGCCAGAAGGAAATTAATGACGTCAAGGCAAAGGTCGCCTCTCTAGAAGAATCCAAGGGGCACAAACAGGAGCTGAAGGCCCTAAAGGAAGAGGTGGAGAAGATCCAGACCTCTGTGAAGTCCAGGGACCGGGACATGGAGGCCCTGAGGAGCTCGCTGCAGACAATGGAGTCTGACATCTACACAGAGGTGCGGGAACTGGTGAGTCTCAAGCAGGAGCAGCAGGCATTCAAGGAGGTGGCGGACACAGAGCGTGCAGCCCTGCAGGCCCTTTCTGAGAAACTCCTCCAAGCTGAGGAGTCTACCTCCCGCCTCCCCCAGGAGATCAGGAGGCTGGAAGAAGAGCTACGCCAGCTGAAGGCCGAGGCTCAGAGGCCCCAGGAAGATGGTGATTTGCAAAGCTTCAATGCCTTAGATGCTCTCCAGAAGAAGAATCAGGGACTGGACTCCAGGCTCCAGAGTGTAGAGGACGGAGTCCATTCAGTTCAGGTGGCCTCTGCACGCCAGACCGAGAGCCTAGAATCACTCCTGTCTAAGAGCCAGGAGCACGAACAACGGCTGGCTATGCTCCAGGGACACCTAGAAGGCCTGGGGTCCTCCCCTGGGGCAGACAAGGATGCCCTGGCTGGCACGGTGCGGAGCCTGGGGGAGGCCCAGCTGGCCCTCTACAGTGACGTGGAGGACCTGAAGAGAAGTGTGGGCGAGCTACCCAGCACCATGGAGTCGCTGCAGAAAGTCCAGGAGCAGGTGCACACGCTGCTCGGCCAGGCCCAGGCCGCCCATCTGCCTCCTCAGGAGTTCCTGGACAAACTTGCTTCTCTAGACAACCTGAAATCCTCAGTGAGTCAAGTGGAGTCAGACTTGAAGATGCTCAGGACTGCCGTGGACAGTTTGGTCGCTTACTCAGTCAAAATCGAAACCAACGAGAACAATCTAGAGTCAGTCAAGGGTTTGCTAGATGACCTGAGGAATGATCTAGATCGGTTGTTTGTAAAAGTTGAAAAGATTCACGAGAAGATCTAAATGGACTGTGTGTGTGCAAGGCGCGTCCCATTTCTCATGACCAAAAAAAAAAAGTGATGGTTTCTTTCCACGTACCCTTTCCCGTTTCTTGTCTCCCCTTGAAGAACAAAAGACGCCATCTGAACACCAAGCCATTGTATTCTGTGCCTGGTTAATTTATTTGTAATTCACACACACACACACACACACACACACACACAGAGTTTGTTTCTTAAGGTCTCTGCTTCTGCTTTGGGTTGGTTTCCCGAAGGCCTAGCCCCACCTGTGTCACAGGTGACTTTTAGAAAGGCTGTGTGTCCTGTCAAACGAATGACAGCAGCTTCAACTGGGCTTCATGGGAGCAGATGAACCTCAAAAACAAAAAACAAAAACCTGTTTGGCAGACAGATTTCAAGTTTAAAAAAAAATAGGGGGCGCTTTTTTTTTCTAACCATCTTTAAGGAAAATTGATTTTACGTATTTTTTTATATTCTTGGCAGAAGTTTTTATGAGATACCTTTCACTTGTTGTCTTCCACTTAAAACCAGTTCAAATTCATAGGTGTCAGCTCTGAATAGGGAAGGGGAAAGCTGCCTCCCCCTTATCTTATTTTAAAAGAATCAGCTAGTGGGGAGTCACCCCCAAGATGTGAATTTCCCTCTTATCATCTTGTGATTTCAGAGGTGACTACACAAGAGTCCAGATGGCTGTGAATGGAAAGTACAGCACCCAGAGGCTCAGTACCTTTGCTGTTCTTGTCCTAGGTGTCCAATCTGGGTCAGCTCTTAGGAGGCCTACCCAACATTACATAGGTTTAGTGTCCCAGGAAGGAGAACCTTTGGGCTTTTGAGAAATGGTTAAGAGCAGTCCTGCTTGGGAGCGTAGCTGAATCTTTTAACTCTGTGGAGTTGAAGGGGTCTGTTGTAGGCCCACCTATCTGTCAGTGAGGTCCCTTCCCTTTGAGCTGTATTGTTCTTTCATGGTCGTCTTGCCCTTCTGAGAAAAAGAAGAAAAAAAAACCACAAAAAACAAAAACAAAAAAAGCCAAAAAAAAAAAGGTTTGTTTAGTTTACTGTGAAATGAACGGTATGGCTTATTTACAGTATTTTTAATTCTTAATAAACACTTGAGCTTTGTTACAACTTCCCAGAGTGATTACTTTTCTGTGAACTTGGTAATTAATCAGTAAGGGATGGATTTTATCAGTATGCAGTATCCCAGGCTCAGAAAAGGTTAAATTTTCAATTTTAAGACTTCTGTTTTGTTAGTTTGCTTCTTTGTTTTGGTGTGGGTCTAGGCCTTGAACTGAGGGCCTGGGTACTGTTCCTGAGCTGCTGCTACTCAAGGCCAGTGCTCTACCATTTGGAGCCACAGTGCTATTTTCTAGCTTTTTAGCAGTTAAATGAAGATGAAAGTCTCACAGACTTCCCTACTCAGGCTGGCTTTGACCCAAAATCCTCAGATCTCAGTCTCCTGAATAGCTAGGATTACAGGCGTGAGCCACAGGCACCCAGCAAGACTGTTTTCAATTGGAAAGCTGGGATGGTCTTTCTCTTATGACTGGGGATTACCTTGCTGGGCAGTTAGGTTCCTTAGGCTATTGCTCATTGTGAGCTCTTGTAGCTTGAGCAATTTTACCCTGTTGAAGTCTTCTGGGGAGAAGCCTTCAACATGAACCCAGCCTAAGGGGTTCATGTTGAGTTGGGGCTCATAGTTGAAAGGTTCCCTAGCTGATTCTTAACTAGCAGTGGATGGAGACTGCCCAAGCAGCCCATCTTGGCCACCTTAGGCCCAATCATTCCCAGGACAACGTGTTTCCTTCACTTTCCTGGGCTACCACGGTCTCATAGCAGATGCTCTTCACTGAGTACCTGTGCTGCATGCTGCATAGGCCTCTGTTGATCCCTCTGGCATTCCCTAAGTGGGCAGATCATTGCCTGGTTCCACATGGGCAGCAGCAAGTGATCTCTTAATGGGAAGCGGAAGGCTTTAATAGATTCCCATTTAAAATGGCGGCAAACCCCCACATCTCAGATGAATAGTCCACTGGAAATTCAAGTGCTGCAAGCAAAAGGGATGCATTGTAAATCCACCTCTTCCTGATGATAGAGCAGTTAAGAGGTAGGTCTAACCCCAATTACAATTCAGTCTTGTTGATGTACTGGTAATGGGATTTGAACTCTAGGCCTAGGTACTCTCCCTTAGCTGTTTTACCCAAGACTGGTGCTCTACCACATGAGTCACAGCTGTACTTCTGGCTTTTTGCTGGTTAATTGGAGATAAGTCTCAGACTTTTCTGCCTGGGCCAGCCTCAAATCTTAATTATTTTTTACTTCCACTCTCTGGAATTCATTTCAATATTATTTTACAGGATCAGAGGCACATAAACATTGCACCTTTGTGCCCCTCTCCTGAGAGCATACTCCTTTGGTCTCACTGTATGTGAATGTTTTGAAGGCTATGGATCTTGATCTTTGCATCTCAGCCTCCTGAGAGGCTAAGATTACAAGCATGAGCCACGAGCATGCTGCTGCTGTGAGCTCCTTTTAGTCATTCTTGAAACACAAGCTTACTGGGCCATATTCAGATATTTTGCTGAACTTAAGTGAATTAAAGACTCTTAAGACATGCCCCTGAACTCAAAGGCCTATGGCTCAGTGTGGCAGTCCTGTAAGTTGGTAAGTGTCCCAAGGAGTTATAAATGCCACAGCCAGGAATCAGTATTGGCGGCTAGTTCTCTGAATAAAGAATAGGCCCACGTTATTTAAGATGTGGCGGAAGGATTAAATGGTTGTGGTAGGGAACTGCTCCCTCAGTTACCACATGACCCAGGGCAAGTCACTGCATGTGGTGAAGGAGATGGTGATGGTAGAGATAATTTCTTGGGATGAGTGTGGAGGTGGAATGAGTGGAGAAGCTAGCTTAGCACATTGTGTAGCCATAAGAATGTGCAGTCATTATAAGAATTCCGTGAAGCCGGGCGCTGGTGGCTCACGCCTGTAATCCTAGCTACTCAGGAGGCTGAGATCTGAGGATCACGGTTCAAAGCCAGCCCGGGCAGGACCGTGAGACTCCTATCTCCAATAAACCACCAGAAAAAAACCGGAAGTGGCGCTGTAGCTCAAGTGGTAGAGCGCTCGCCTTGAGCTGAAGAGCTGAGGGACAGTGCCCAGGCCCAGAGTTCAAGCCCCACGACCGACAAAAAAAAAAAAAATTCCGTGACCCATGCAGGCGCCACCATGCATGCCAGAGGGAAAAAGGGGGAATAGAAATCCTTTCTTGCTTTTCCATATCAAGGATCACTATGAGTAAATACATGGGATGCGTTTTTAACTTCAGTATACATGAAGGAATGATGAAGTCATTGCTAGACTTTTTTTTTCTTGTCTGTGCATTCCTTTTTTTTTTTTTTTTGAGGTCCGGTCGTGGGGCCTGAACTCTGGGCTGGGCGCTGTCCCTCAGCTCTTCACCTCAAGGCTAGGGCTCTACCACTTGAGCCATAGCACCACTTCCGGCTTTTTTTTTTCTGCTTATGTGGTGCTGAGGAATCGAACCCAGGGCCTCATGCATGCAAGGCAAGCGCTCTACCACTGAGCCACCTTCTCAGCCCCTTGTCTGTGCATTCCTATCGTTTACCGCCTGCATAATATTTCCCGATCTCTGGGCCTAGCTCACACCTCACCTGTGAGCTGCTGACACCTGAATGCCCTCCTCCCCAGCCATGTCTTTTTGGTTTCATAGTGCTTCCTATAAATGAAATCACACCACAGAAGACCTGTATCCCCTTTGAAAAATTAATGTCACAAAATTCACCCCTATTAAAGTGTACAATTGCCTTTATTTATGAAGACATTCCTATCTGGATGAATCTTGTCCTTGTCACCTGTAATGGATGCTGGCACATAGCAGGTGTTCAAATAAGCAGCAGTTGCTTAAATTCATGTGGGCGTTTGACCTGGAAAATGCAGTGTCAGCGACTGTGAGAGAAGATGGGTGGGAGATTTCCTCTTACCTCTCAGCCTGGGTTCAAGTAGGAGGAGCTAAAACTGCAGATGCAGGGCCGGGCTGAACTGCACTTCCCCCTCTCCTGGCTGTGTTTGGACAAGGGATGGAGTCCACGGGTTGCTGTTTGTTACATTTGGGCCTCTGAGCAGCATCTGCTTCAGGGAGGTGAGACGGAAGATGAGTCCCAGACAAACTGGGGACTCCGATCTGTGAATGCTACTGCGGAGTGATACACGCAGAGTTCAAGGTGCATCTATGACAACGGTGAGGTCCTGAGCATTTGTTGTTGCCTGTTCAGCCTCTAGCCTTGCTTTATTTGGTAACAATCCGTCCCATTTCTTCAGGAAATCATCCCTTCCCCACTGTCGTCCATTTGGCTTTGATGAGATTGACTTGGATGAGTGCATGGCCCTTATTGGGCCAATGAGAAATCTAGTTTGATCTGTTCAGGATGAACAAGGCTACCATCTGGTTCAATGATGACCAATGGAACTTTCTGGAAAGGGATGCCATCTGTCCACTGGAGATATTAAGTCCAGAGCTGTGAAGGGACTGCCAGCACATATGCAGAGAAATCTCTGAGAATGAAGTCAGCATAGAAGAAAGCAGAACCAAGAGATGGAGAGAGACATGTTCTGATGACATAGTATGAATACCGGAAACCACAAATCGCATAACTAAAAAATGCTAAGTGACACAGTTTAACAAAATGGATCCCAAGAAGCCCTGAAGTCAAGCTCTAATACCAAGAAGGAAGGAAGGAAGAAAGGAAGGAAGGAAGGAAGGAAGGAAGGAAGGAAGGAAGGAAGGAAGGAAGGAAAGAAGGGAAGGAAGGAAAGGAAGGAAAGAAAGGAAGGAAGAGCAAGGAAGAAAGAGGGAAGTTTTTTTTTGTCGGTTGTGGGGCTTGAACTCAAGGCCTGGGTGCTGTCTCCAAGCCTCTTTGTGCCCAAGACTAGCACTCTACCATTTGAGCCACAGCACCACTTCCAATTTTTGAGTGGTTATTTGGAGGTAAGAGTCTCACAAGCACTTTTCTGCCTGGGCTGGCTTCGAATTACGAGCCTCAGAT